TCCTACTCAGCCAGCCGATCAGCGTGAACTCTGGCCGAGGTGTGAGACCATCATTAGGAGTGCAAATGGACAAAAATTTGTCAGGGATAAGCTGCTGAAGACACGTGATAATCTCAGTCAAACCTGCTCACTCAACAGCTGCAAATTATGATGATTTTGGAGTCAGAAAGTTGGTGAAGAGACTCAGTTTGCAGGCTTGGTAAGTGGGCAATCACGGGCTAAAAATCGGGTTGGATTTGATGGATAGGCTCTCTGAAGCACGTTCTTTTGGGGGATAAAAATAAAGGGATGAGACAAGAGGAAGGGAGTTCACGGTCGTTCGAAAAACTCACCCTCAGACGCAACTCAAAAAAAACAAACCCAGAAAAGTTCCAGACTGACTTTTGGAGAGGAAAGTGAGATTTTCGTGAACTTCGAGCCAAAATTAGCCAAAATCTTCAACTAGAGAGTGGAACTACATTCAAAGATCTTTCCAACCATAGGTCGCACGCCCCAAATGGATGTCGGGAAGCCACCCAAAATCCCCTCGAAAAGCAGCCCATTCTCGGGTCAAGAGAGACCCAGAAATCTTCGAAGTGTTGAAGTCAGACGGTTACTGGTGAGGGAAAGTGGGAGTTTTTGAGAGACATGAGGAATATATGAGGATACCTGTGACTTGAAAATTAAACTAGAATACATCTAGTTTGGGTTAGTGTCAAATTAGTCAGAAAAGGAGGTCGTTGATTCTGGTTTTGGAGACCAACAAAAAGCTTCGTTGTCAGTTCCTTCTTTGCAGATCTCATTTTCCAGTTTGAAGAAGCCTAGTTCCCCGCGCCCTTGGAAGACAGGTTTTTGGTTCCCTCGGCCAAGGGATACTTCAAAGAGAAACTAGGAAGCAAGGTGAGTATCCTACATGTATTTTTGTTCAATTTTGAATATGTTTTAGTTATGAAAAAATCAAGAGAAAACCAGCCCAGAGAACTGATTTCTGAGGCTGGAATTTTTGCAAGTGTTAGAGCTCCTTCATGAGCCCTAAATGTTTGACTTGCTACTCCTCTTTGCATGCGTTTTCTACCTTCGTGAGCTTGATGAATGTTATATGGGTGTACAAATTAGGCTGAGATCCACTTGGTTTGGTCTTTGAAGCCCCGTGTGAACCATGAGATCGCTTGCAACTTGAGTCAAAAGCCAAGCTAACCCACATTGATTCATGGCTAGTCATTATGAACCATGCATGTATGCTTCTTGGGGGGGTTGTTTCGACGTGTTCGCTTGATCATTCTCCATGATGTTTGTTTCATTTAAAAGTAGATGTTACGTATATTCTCTCAGATGAAGTGATGTTTCCCATAGATCTTGCACGTGTTGAGTGTCGGGGCTTAAACCTGGGCATGCAACAGGTTTGCTTGACCTGGGTTTAAACCCAAATTTGCAAAAGCAGCCCGAACCCACATATTGGAGGCCGATTCCAACTTGGTTCTCGTGCGTTTTAGGTTGTGATTTCTAGCTAATCTTGTTCTTTGCATGTGATAATATAACCTTGATACTTTGGTTCCACTTGATATTACACACGGAGTAAGATTGAAGGCCACGAATATGGCTCGAGGAAGCCATTTGGGGCATTTTAATGCACACCAAATGCTCGACGAAATGCCCAAACCAAGTTTCGATCTTGAAACGGTTGATTTGAGCCCGGTTCTCGTAATATTCATATTCTGAGTTGTTTCATGTTCACGTAAACCGAGCATAGGCCGATTTAGGGAATTATTATTTTTTTAAATAAAAAACGAAAATTTTAAAAAAAAAATAGAAAAATTTCGAAAATCCAAAAATTGGAAATTGGGTTTCAGAATTGCTTTTCTCTCCCTTTTTGTGTGATTAGCGTATGTTTGATTGCTCCTCGCTTGATTCGCACGCTTTGAATTGCATGTTTAATTTAAACTCGCATGTGGTTGATTATGCATGTTAGGTTCATGTAGTGATTGTTGCTTCCCTTAGCTTGGTTAGGAATGAATTTTTTAAACTCCCAGTTAGTGTGAACACGTTAGGTGGTGAATTGAGCAAGATTAGGTACCGAAAGGGCACTAGTTGGTCAATTAGTGTAATCAAGTCCCCGTACCCATTGAATCTCTGGTTCGTAGAAGTAAAGCATTTCTCCCCTGCTTTGCTTGGGTGTCTAATCGACCCACCAAAAACTGATTAGTGGCGACTCCTAGGTGAAATTGATTTCCATGTTAATAACTTTAACTTAAGTCGCGAATTGGTATGAGCTTGGGAGAGCTCGAGCTAGGTTTAACTTAGTAATCCATTAGCCTAACCCCTTAGGCGGCGGGGCCGGTTTAGGGAGGTCGCGACACTTATAAGTATCAGTCAGCCATGTGCTAAGAGATACAAAATCAGTTTCGAAGAAGGTAAATGTGTTGGCATGAGCCATAACAAATCACAATCTTTTCCAGGAAAACGGTATGGCAATAATTACTTGCTTGATGTCAATCTTGATGATGTACGATACTTAATGTTTATAAAAGATAAATGTGATCTATGGCACAAGAAATTAGGTCACGTCAATATAAAACAAATTTCCAAGATATAATCAAAAGATCCTGTTTGTGGTCTACCAAAGATCAACTATGGAAAGTGTGACTCTTGCAATGCATGTTCTTTGGGAAAGAAGGTTAAATATTCTTTCAAATCAATAAAGACTATTAGTACTAATAGATCTTTCCAGCTATTGCACATGGATTTGTTCGGACCAACAAGAACCATAAGTCTCGGAGGAAGCAAATACTGCTTGATGATTGTTGACAATTATTCACGATTCACATGGGTGATGTTTCTATCTCACAAACATGAAGCATTTTAATCATTTGAAAAATTTTCTCAAATGATTCAAAATGAGAAATGATACAACATCCCAACAATCAAGACTGACCATGGAGGAGAATTCGAGAACTAAAACTTTGTTGAATACTGTGATGAAAATGGGCTAGAACATAATTTCTCTACAGCCTACACCCCTCAATAGAATAGTCTTGTTGAAAGAAAAAAATCATTCTTTACAAAAAAAAATGGCAAGAACTATGATAATAGAAAGTAGTGTTTCCACCTACTTTTGGGCAGGAGCAGTTGCCACTGATTGCTATATCATGAACAAAGTACTGCTGAGACCTTTGTTTAAGAAAACTCCGTACGAAATATTTAAATGAAGGAAGCCCATCATATCATATTTTCGCAAGTTTGGATGCAAATGCTAAATTCTCAAATATGCTAATGACAACGTTGGAAATTTTGATGCACTAGCAAGTGAAAATATGTTCCTTGAATACGCAACATCTGGTAAAGCTTATCATGTGTTCAATAAAGCATCACGGGTGATAGAAGAATCCATAAATGTAAAGTTTAAGGACAACCCGAAAGACACACAAGAAATGATGTTGATGAAAGAAAAAATCGTTCTCTACAAAAAATGGTGATGACTACGATGATAGAAAGTGGTGTTCCCACCTACTTTTGGACAGAAGCAGTTGCCACTGCTTGCTATATCAGGAACAGAGTACTGCTGAGACCTTTGTTGGAGAAAACTTAGTGCGAAATATTTGAAGGAAGGAAGCCCAGCATATCAGATTTTCTCATGTTTGGATGCAAATGCTACATTCTCAAAAATGCTAGTGACATCGTTGGAAAATTTGATGCACTAGCAAGTGAAGATATTTTCCTTGAGTACTCAACATCCAGTAAATCTTATCGTGTGTTCAATAAAGCATCATAGTTGATAGAAGGATCCATAAACGTAAAGTTTAAGGACAACCCGGAAGTCACATAAGCTGATGATAGTGAGGAAATCATGCAAATATCTGCACCAGTTGATGATAAACAGTATCACCAGCAATCAAATGGAAATTGTCCAAATCAACTACCGATTCCAAAAGGACTGGAGATTCAAAACAAAGCATCCTAAGGAAGAAATCATTGAGAACATAAATGAAGGGATCAAAACTAGATCTTCATTCAAAGAATTGATGAATTCCCTAGCTCTAAATCTCTCAATTAGAACCAAAAGGAATTGATGAAGCTATTTACGAGAAAAGCTAGACAAAGGTTATGCAAGAGGAGCTACATCAATGTAAGTGATTGAAATTTTAGAATTAGTATCTCGACCCAAAAAACATCCCGTCATAGGTACAAAATGGGTATTTCAAAATAAACTTGATGACACAGATAATGTAATTCGCAACAAAACAAGGTTAGTTGCCAATGGATATTCTCAAGATGAAGGTATTAAATATGATGAGACATATGCTCTTGTTGTAAGATTAGAAGCAATAAGATTCTTATTAGCTTATGCCTGTCTCTATTATTTCTCAAATGGATGTGAAAAGTGCATATCTAAATGGCTATATCAAAGAAAGAGTTTTTCTTGAGCAACCTCCGGGTTTTGAAGACCTGGGCACATTATGAATGTTGTATCTTGGAAGGCATGCAGTTCATGAGTTTGCCTAGCACCGTTGGTAGGAACTAGTCACCTTAAGAAAATTCTCCTGTTTATTTATTGCTATCACTTTTTCATAATTATTATTTCTTTGATTACAACAAACAGTGTCACGTATTCATTCAATACGTAAATATTGTCCATGTCATTTTCCAACATACACAACATGGTTCGAGCATTTTTCATAGTTGATCCGTGCCAGTTATGAACGAGCCCATTTATAAGAAGCTTATTTTGTGTTTTTCGGGTTTCTTTTGTACCGTCTTCCTATTGGCGAACATTTTTTCATAGTCTATGATGCTCTTTCTCTGTTTGTTATTGAAGATACTAGGTGATCTTTTATCCTTCTTTTGGGCTGGTGTAGAAGGTAGTGATAAGTTTTCATTGGTGAGAATTGCATTGGTGTCGGCTCTGTTGCGTGAATGTTTGCTTGGATTCTAACGGTTCCATCTTCAAGATAATTTGAAAAATTGTCCCCCAAAATTTTGGATGGTATTAGAGCGGAAAAAGAAAGAGAGCAGTAGAAATGTAGTTTATGAAGTAAAGGGATTTTATTTTCCACTATCTCTCATATAAAGGTACAACAGCAGATTTGCGAGGATAAAAAGAACTATACATACCACAATATGACAGAAACAAAAAATGAGAAATCAAGCCAAGCAAAATTACAGAAGAGAAAAGAATTGTACTGGGAAGAAAGAGAGGAGGAACAGTTTTCTGCTCATCTCCATATGTATTTGACCATATTGCTATACAGTCAACAATCCTATGAGTAAAAAGCTCAAAAATTCTACTTCGAAACAAGATGCTTTTTCTCATCTCCTCTGGAAGTTCAGGAACTTGATGCCGTAGGCAAAGATGAAGAAGAAGCCCAAGACCCAACCGATATGGGCCAAAGCCACGGGCACGAGGAAGTCGTAATCGAATCCCAGGCTTGCCTTCAGGAATTCATCTATTGGTTGTTCCCCTCCATCTGTTGCTAGAGGTTCCTTCTTGTCGCCGACCTGGGATGCGAAAATGCCGTAGATGGTCCAAGCGACGGGCGAGCACCAGTAGTACCACCTCCACCACACAGGGATCAGCTGCAATAATAGAGCATTTTTAGCATTTATATGACATGTTCACAAAAGAAGCTGATGCTCTCAATGAGAAATGAATGAATATTAGAATTAGGACCAAGGTAAGGTGACTTACAGGTCTGGGAATGAGGAAGCCCGAAAACAAGTTCCAGAAGTTGAGGAAGAACGACATTGTGATGGCAGCAATCTGGTGGCCGGGAGTGAGCGCGACAACCATCATGCCGTACATCGAGAAGTAGGTATAGCACATGAATATGAAGTAGTAGAAGTACAAGACCTTGCTGAGCTTCCACTCGAAACCGATCATCGAGTAGAGCATGAGGGAATAAACAACTGTCTGAACCGCCACATAGATTGTTTCAATAGCCACCTGATACACAAAGCACACCAATCAACGACAGAACAAGAAAATACGATTGTAATGAAATGAATGAGATTCTAATTATTCGAAATGGACAAAAAGGATCATACCTGAGCAAATGCATAAGGCAACTCCGAATACATCCCAGCTGCTCGTTCACGGTAGAAGACGGTTCTTTCGATTGCCACCACAGATTGGACTGCTGAAGCATTAGTGGCTCCAAGGAAGAGAACAGCAGCATAGGTGGCACCGAGTAGATTGATTAAATCTTGTTGTTTATATCTATCAGGATAAAAGGAACAGAAACATCATGTGAGCAAACACTTCAAGGAAATAGCAGCGGCTCGACCTTCGCAAAAAGAAAATGATCTTTCGAATGCAATAGTTTGTGCTTACATTTTGTCTCCTTTGTTCCAGAAAATTAAGCCAAACATAAGACCAATGACGACCGTCATGAAGAAACGAATGGCGTTAAACCGGGAGTTCCTCCAGTAGGACCAGTTCTGTTTGCAGAAGCAAGCATGGCATTGAGTTCGGAAGCCCTGGGAGTATTGGGTGGGGAAGTAAAGGTCTTTTGAACCGGCCTGTGGAGTATCCAGCTCTTTGATGAGCTCCTGGTTTCTCCTGAAAAAAAAAAAAAGGGGAAATGAGGTGCCGAGTTCAGTGCACATTCATGATTGGAATTTGAAGAAATTACAAGGAGTGCGCGTCTCTCACCTATAGAGGTCAGAATTGGCATAGATTTCTGCAAAGTCTACGTCCAGTTGAGCTTCGACTGAAGTAGCAGTGACATCCAACATCCATGTTGCAGGATTGTAGCCTTCTCTGATCTTGGGGACACCGGGAAGAGCCTGCAATTGGTTTTCAGACATTAAACTCTATTCAGTCAAACCACACAGCCTCATTGGTAGGTGTAGTCAAGGATTTTTCAGTCATGCGGATTTCTTAATTGAAGTTATAAGATAAGCACCTCAAAATATTCGACGAGCTTGTGAGACCGTTCACCAAGAGGCCCTGCATAAATGACTTGCCCTCCTCTTTTCATCAGAAGAAGCTGCAAGAAGAACACACATCCTCAGCTCAGGGATATCTTGAAGAGAATCCCGAAAAAACGTGAAAGGAACACGGAGTTCAATTAACCTAACCGTACCTCATCAAAAGCCTCAAAAATGTCTATACTCGGTTGGTGAATCGTGCACACAACAGTACGCCCAGTATCCACGGTGTTTCTCACGGTACGCATGACAATTGCAGCTGCTCTGGCATCGAGACCTGATGTGGGCTCATCCATGAAAATAATCGAGGGATTAGCAACCAACTCGACGGCTATTGTGAGCCTCTTCCTCTGCTCCGTCGAGAGTCCGTCAACACCTGGAAGCCCAACTAGAGCATTCCTCAAGGGATGAAGCTCAACTAAATCCATGACTTCCTCAACAAACATCTGCAAAACCAATAAAACTCGCGTTTAGTCAAAATTTCCACCAGGTCCATTTACTTGCTTGATGGAGATGTTAATGAAGAAGATAGTATCGTAGTTACGTGCCTTCCTGGTTTCATTATTTACGTCTTTAGCAAGACGAAGCCAAGCTGAGTATAAGAGAGACTCGTAAACGGTGACGTATGGCGAGTGAATGTCATTCTGCTCACAGTAACCGCTCACTCGAGCAAAAGTGGCTTGGTTCTTGGGATAACCGGAAACAGTTATGCTTCCTTCAATGTATCCACCAGTTTTTCTTCCTGCTAAGACATCCATCAGTGTGGTCTTTCCGGCTCCACTGACTCCAACCAATGCTGTCAAAACGCCTGGCCTGAAAGCTCCACTGACATCTCTTAGAAGTTGTAGTCGGCTTTCCTCAACCCCTTGAGTCTTCATTTCCTGAAGCAGATCAAAACAGACATTTATTTCTGAATCTAACGTTGGGTGGAGGTATTTTACAGTTTGCATTCTGATAAATATGTCTCAAACAAATACACGATCAGATCTTCCCTAGCATTTTGCTTTCTGACAAGTCACTCGTTTCTATCTGTAGTTTTATGTGAAATTACGGAAGAACTGTCATTGTGTTAGGGCATGCTTGTGTCATTTCTTCGCTCCACGGAACCTGGGGAGTCTTAAGTTAGGGAGGATTGGACTTACCGCGGGCATATCCACATAGTAATTGACATGGTTGAAGGCAAGTGAAAGGGGCTGGAAAGGCAGAACCATTCCTCTCCTAGCCTGGGTGCTTTCGCTGACAATACTCTCGTTTGCTCGGGCATTTCTTACTTGCATCGGAGTACCTGTCCATAAAATTCCAGTCTTATATAAGCATCTACACATGATACTTTTTGAGGCATCATCCCAGATTTCTCTTTTTCTATAAATCCAGTTGACAGTCCTAACCACAACAAATACATACCTTCTGATCTAGATTGTCTCCTCTTCTCGGAATCATCATCCGCGAGTATTGCTTTATTATCACCAAGAGCTGAGATACAGTCGGAAAGCAATAAATCAGTACGTACTTTTCATTTTACTTTGCAAAAAGAAAACCGGACAAGAGCATCTACTTACGATTTAAGAATGTCAATGCAGCAGTGAAGAGAATGTTGAAAATAATGGAGAACGAGAAAAGTGCTATGACACTGATCCAATACCAGCTCTCGGTCCTGTAAAGACCTCTTTGTGCTAGAAGGTACTTTCCAACTGTGGGTTCAGAGGAGTTGGGGGGCAAAGGCTGCGACATCAAAAGAAGTTAGTTTAGATGTATCCTGAAATATTAACATCTTCAGAAGACTTTTGAAATTCCATCGTATCCTAAGCCTTGTAGAGAACTTACCGTGCTCCATCTCTCGGACAGGAACTCATTGATAGCAATGGCATTTTGCCCATACATCATGGGAGAAACATAGTAACCCCAGATCATCCCTTTTGAAATGTCATCTGTCCACCATCGGGCACATTAATTTTTAGAAGCTTATCACCAAAAACAATCCATAGGTGTGAAACATGAGGTATCCAAATGCCGTTATGAGCAATTGTTTAGAACGACAGTGCCAAGTGCCAAAAAAAAAAAAACATTTCTAACCTTTCGCGACAATGAAGCCGCCAAGGATGAATACCAGCAGCAATGTGAAGGTCCCAAGTGTGTTGGCGACGACTTGTGTTCTTCCCACAGCCGCTATGAAACGGAAGAGAGAGAGAGCCACCTGATTCACTCCAAAGAAAGCCAACAGTTGCTTGAAAAACCTGCACAAGTAGAAATCACCGAGATTTGTCAGCAAAGACTTACCAGAGATTATTTTCGTCGCACTAGTGTTAGTAGCTTATAAACCAAAACAGGAAGGGCCAACTTATGAGAGAGCAGAAAAAATGGTCATACCTAGCAGGAGACGGGGCGAACCCAATGGTGTAGTAAGTGAGGATGATCCAAATTCCAGATTCAACCAGTGATACGGGAATTCTGAGCACCCAAATGGGCAACGCGAAAGCCCAGGCAGGGTAAAACAAGAAATCTCTCTGCTTGAAGAACACCGGAAGCCTGAACACCGTCATCGCGAGCTCAGTCATCCCATTAAACATGACATTCAGAAGACTGTAAAATAGAGCTCCCCAAAATTTTGCCCCGTCATTTATTGCGCCGGTCTTCATTTCTGTTCTGAGGAACACGGTGAACGCAATGAAGGCCATGATCGTGATCTGAGTGGTCTTGAAGATATACACGAAAGAGCTGCGCTTCATCAGCAGCCATTCCCTGGCAAAGCAAGCTTTGAAGAGCTCCCTGTTAGAAATTCCATACTTGTCCTTCACCAGAGCAGCAGGGTGTGCCCTGGTTTTGTCATAAGGGACTCTAAGCTCTTCCAGAAGCCGCTGACCGACATGGAAGCTATTGAAAGCCCTCACGAATTCAGGCACCGAGATGTATCTATAAGGTTGGTCCTTCCTGTACCAGTATTGCTCTTGGTCGTTCTTGGAAGTCACTTCCTGCAGAAAATCAGCAACCCCCTTTCTTTCCGGGCATTTGAAGCCCACAAACTCGAAGAACTCAAGAACGCTCTCTCGCGGCCCTTGGTAGACGATCTGGCCCTCCGAGAGCAAGATTATGTCGTCGAAGAGATCGTAAGTCTCGGGAGCTGGCTGCAAGAGGGAGATGACCATGGTCACATCCATGATATGGACCATCTGCCTCATGAACTTCACAATCTGAAAAGTCGTGGAACTATCCAGCCCCGTCGATATCTCGTCCATGAAAAACGCTTTCGCCGGTCCGACCAACATCTCACCTGTGGTGACACGTTTCTTTTGTCCACCAGAGATACCCCTCCTCATGTCGTCTCCAACCATGATATCAGCGCAAATATCCAATCCAAGGATCTGCCACAAACATTAGAGATTTAGCCTACCACACAAGCTCATACAATGAAACGTCAAATTTGAAGCAGGATTGAATGGACAAATTTCTGCAAACCAACCTTGAGGACATAGTCGGCCATCAAACTGGTTTCTTGGCCAGTAATGGCAGTGGCCTTCATGAAAGCATCAATTTCGGGGTCCGGCTTGATCCCTGCCTCTCGCTCTCTTCTTGACAGCTCAGCCAACATCTCATACCTAGTTCCGACTCCCAAGCAACGGCCCGAAAAGTCTAGCGTCTCCCGGACCGTCATCTCACCGTGGTGAAGATCATGCTGGCTAATGTAAGCACAGGTCCTTTGAGGAACGAATTCTTTGAATTCATGGCCGCAGTAGGTGATTTTTCCAGTTATCTGTATCGTTGTAACAGAACAAATTAATTCACGCTAAGAACTAGAGAACCTGAAGACAGTAAGCAAGTAAATGCATCCAGATAGGTCAAATGCGTCACTAACCCTGAGATCATCATCAGGCTTTCCGGCAAGTGCTTGTAGCAGTGTTGTTTTTCCAGAGCCAGGAGGTCCAAGAAGCAAGGTCAACCTGAAAATGAATATTTTCATGTTTATAAGCTTCCAAATTAAGCGCGTAGAACTGCACTTGTTTATGGAAGCAGAAAGACTAGGATCTTCAAGTTGAGGATCCATGAATTCACCTTGACGGTTGGATTATGCCACTGACATCTTGAAGTATCTTTACCACTCTCTTCTTCGATGGGGAGAGTCCGATCATACCAATAACTCCCTGTTGACATAAATATTGTTATTGAGGATGCATAGAAAATATGAAATTCACTTCGTCTAATGAACCAGACCCTGCCGTCACCCTGAAGACATGAAAAGAAACAAACAGATTGATTTATCGATCTTTGTGCTTCAACATTTGAACCGCTCTTAGGTTGTGTTGGCTCTTCGCTACCTCTTTCAGCTTCCCATAACATCAGCTTTCCTTTTTTCTACTTACTTAAGCAATAAAGACGCATCATTTCACTAAAAGGCCCTCTTATTGCCTGCATATTCGCAATCAAATTTATATCTTCCGTCATCTCATGCCTCCCGAACCTGCCTACTCGATATAGTCAAAGGCGGTATCGCAACCACATATGAGAAACTCACAAGAACTTGTTCCTCCTGAAGTCTTTAAGACAATCGAAAGCCAGACGTAACCAAAGACCTCTACCCGATCTAGTCACCTAAGCAATCTTACCTGACTCACTACAACCCTTTTGAATATGCCACTGATACTTCACTAAACAACACTCCAGATCAACTGAACATGAAAAAGAAACATCAGAGAAAGTAAACAATTCTCATGAAAACCAACCTCAATAGCATTCAAGGTAGAGTTGAGCAGAGTTGGGAGTGCCCTTGTCCCCACATAAGCATCCCCTTCAATGCACAGGTTCTGGAACCTCACTTCGATCTTCGGGATCTCGATACCGACCCGGTCAGTCCTGTTCCGCAGCCTCGTCAGGAACTTCTCGTTGTCCTCCTCCACCACTTTGAGTATGCTCTCCATCAGGACCTTCTTGTCTTGCGCCCCAAGGTTCGCCACGTCCACCTCGTCGTGCACCACCCTCCCGTTGCTCCGCACCTGGGTGAGCATCCCCCTCCGCATCCGGTCGTAGGTCGGCAACCGCTCGATGGCGGCCCACCGGAGCTCCTCCTCGTCGTCCGCCACCTGCCGGACGCTCCGCTGGAACACGTCCGGCGCGTTCCATATCTCCCTCACGCTCGCGGACCGCCAACTGCCGCGGCTGCTCCTGCTCGTCTGCCGCATGAGGTCGTCCCCGGCCAATGCCGACGCCATTGTCAAACCCGCCTCAGTCTCTCCGGATCACACGTGAAACCCGTATCGAATTACTCCTCGGTGAAGTCCTCGGACCAGAGTCCGAGCGAGAACTTGAAGAACGAGAATCGAACTCCCAAAGAACGAATCTATACGCACATGGTGAAGCAGAAGCACGCTTTTTTTCTCTTCTGTGTGCGTGCGCTTATGAGAGAACTTGGAGGATACAGAGAGGATGAGAAAGAGAGAGAGATATTTTGAAGAGGTGGGTTCTGGAGGAGCTTTATATATAGAGAGAGTTAAAGAAGAAGAAGAAGAGGAAGAAGAAGAAGATCAATCCCGTGCAGGAAGAACAAGGATGCGGATGTGTGTGTGTATGTGTATGTGTGTGCGTGTTTGGTCGTCGGTCAAAATGAGACAACGAGAAGTTCCCGCGGCTTTGAGCTTAACTTGCGAGAGGCGTTGAAGATTCAACTCCCCCCCGGATCCGGTGTCTCGCGCTTCACTCGCGCCCGTTCCAGAAGGAAATCTCCTGGCCGTCGGATTCGGGGGCGACGAGGGTTGACGTGCCGGGGGAGAGGCCCGATCCTGCGGACCATATCGAGCGAGCGCACCGTATCTTACTGTGAGCGCGGAATCGTTGCTTTCGGGTAATATCTTAATGGGATATGGGAGAACGCCGGGCGGGTCCCAGTGCTGTATTTCGCTGACCCGAAATTTAGATGCTTCGGTTCGAGGACAAAAGAGAGCGTCGCTCGCACGCGCGATGGAGCGCGTGGGGATGGCGGGGTTGTGGGGGGTACTGGACAACAGTGAATTTAATGGGCGAGTGGGACCGGGATGACCGGGAGTCCCGGTGGGGCCTACCGTGGTGTCCCGCCGCACCTGATCCGATGACCACTTGACAACTGCACTAGTTGCCGCCTTGGACCCTTAAAAGAGCCTTAATAATGCGCAGGTTAATTTCCCCTTATCCGAGTTCGATTCCCACCGTTCACAGGAAATTAGGAACGAGGACGTTTAATTTCACGCGAAGGTTTTGACTTTTACGATCTGCAAAAATGCTAATATGAGAATGAATTGAAAATTAGAGTAGGACAGATCAAAAAAAAAAATTCTCCTAACGCTTCGTTGTCAAAATTTTGATTTTATTATCTCCCTTTTTCAAAACTATTGGTGAGGCTCGTGGTCCAAGATTTCCGCCTTGACCTTGACAATAGAGGGAAATTCCCCCCCATGATTCAATCTCTCTTTTTTTATTTTAATCTTTTGCACCAAAGACCCTAATCATTTCCAATAGAATTGGAGCAACGAATTCCAAATATATTATTTTTTAACTTCACTTATAGATGTTCTTATAAGTTTGAATGCTTGAAAACTCGGCTATGCTTCACCTTTGGTAACATTCTCGTGTCACGGTGATCTTCTCGTCCCGTCACGAATAAAAATAATCAATCAAGAGACAAGGGATCACTGGAGCAATGCCCGGAGACGGTGTCTTCTCGTGATTTTGAATCTTAACGAGCTCGGCCGACCTGTTGAGTTGAAAATTGGAGCAATGTGTACGCAGGATCGTGTCTACTCGGAATCGTGGCTACTCTTATGCACGGTCATCATGGGTTTAGCTAAAAGAATGGGTGCGCGGAGATTAAACTTGAAGGCGGGTTTTTTTCACAGTTAAAATGAAATTAGAGGGAAACAACCACGTAGTGAAAATGAAAGTATATATCAAGGAAGGTTCTTCGTGTTATCCATTCGAAAAGCTTCAAAATACTTGAAAGTTGAAAAGTCCACAATTGTCAACATCAATACCCAAGACTAAAATAATATCTAGACGCGCTCAAAAGTCTCCAGCGTACGTGACTTAGACAAAAACGGACCAACAGCAGATGGAAAACGACCGTCCTCTAAGGTAAAATTCGTTGACAGAAGAAATTGCGAATCACGAGGGAAGGTGCGAAACGACTTTTCCCCGGCCGTTTCACATACAATACAGAGTTAATAGTACCGAAAACTCCTAACCGGTACATTCGCATCACATGTACCCCGAACTAATGTTCATGTCACAGATACCACATATACCTCCAACCAACTTCAAAGCCGATGCGTCCGTGCATGACACATTCACCCGCGAAAAATCCCGGATTCATCACAATTTGAGACAGTTTTGGGTCAACGTGGCACGGGGACACGGTATGAATATGCACAAATAGTGTTTGAATAAAATGAGGAAAAGAGGAGTGAACACGCCAGCCGGTGGTGCGGGGGCTTCGACTTTCAACGCTTTCTAGAAGAGCTCTGCCTGCGAAAACCGCACGTTCTCGGGCGGCAGGAGCGTTTCCATCGGGGGAAAGTTTGACCGTTAAATCAGTGATTTGCGGGGGATCAGGATTATTGCTTCTTCAAGTGGTTAAGAACATTCACCCCCAGTACGTTAAAAACGTCATTAAATTAGCGAGAGGAAAAATATCTGTCGAAGTGCCATGCATGCATGCAAGCATGCAGAGGCGGCGGCTATAACCGTGAACATCGTCCCACTTGATGAGCAGGATGATGCTGCTGATATGGACGTGAATCGCTGTTTTCATTTATGGCCTCTTCTTTTTTCTTTGTTTCTTTTGGGACTAATCAGTATGTTATGTCCCCGTCCGTCTAGTTGCGGAGCAATCAATGATTGTGCCCCAGAATTACAAGTAGGGTATATCTATAGAGAAAAGAAGATATTTCGATTTTCAATAGATTGAGGATACAGAACATGACAAAGGTGGCGTGTTGACACCCAAAAAATGACCGGCTTTTGGTTTACGATCGATGAGCGACAGACTTAGTCAGTAATTGTGGAGTTTGGCGAGCAACAGGACTCACAAGTGAGAAGAATCGTCGACAACTTGAAGGGCACGGACAATTTGCCAAGGAAGTCATCGGCAGCAGGATCGACGCAAAAACGTAGTCGCTGGGTAGTTATGTTTTTTGCCGCTGTGTTAGACTTTTTTGTAACTTCTTGTTAATGAGCATTATTGTGACTTCTTACGAAGATCGACCGCAAATAGGATTTGAATGTTATTTGTTGTGAAGATGGGATTGAGAAGTTACCTTTTCAAATTCCAATTATCACTTGTAACTGTACTGTAGGCTATCAAATGGTACATTATACTCTTTGTAAAAAAATCCACAACCATCAACAAAACTATGTATATTTCAGTTTATCAATTTATCTTTTCGAATTCCTGCATTTACTTTCATATAAATCAATTAGTTCGAGGTCTTCATTATGCACTCTACTTCCTGTCCGATTTGCCACGAAACCCGATTCAAATAAAAAACCGAAGATCAACATTTGGTGAAAAGGCATTTCGTCGCGTGGAGTTATTCCCAGCGAAGTGCAGTAGATTGAAATTACGAAATTTCTTTAATTGAATGTTCGACAAGTGTATCGAGACACTCGACCACAAAAAATTCTTACAATTTACATGTGAAGGGGAAATGAACCTTAAAAGGGTCACGCAGAAATGCGGATACGACACTTTTTAAATATCTACATTGAGAAATATTGTTATTTTCGACGTATTATTAATATAAAATAGATAATGACCTGCCAAATCATCATAGGGACGTGATGTGCAGGAGAGAGGGAGAGCTACGAGTGGATAATCTCGAATAATTTGAAGACTTATTGAATTTTCCTTGCTTGTCAAGGGAGAGAAGGAACAAATAGTGTAGAAATAAGGTTTTTTTTCTTCTTTTTTTTCGAAAAAAAAAAACAACTAACTATTAAGAGAGAGAAAATTCATGGTGTCCACGATCCATGGTAGTTTTATAAGTGTCAAGTTGAGTCAAATCAATGACCTTCTGGTGAATCTGCAGGGCGAGTGTACTTTAGCTCCTATCACTAGAATAGAAAGCACGAGGTACCATTTCATGGGCCTAAGTTAACCATCCTTATTCCTACTTCTATGACCAAAGTAGATATTATCCTAGTGTGGGAAAATCACTTAATCAAACTCAATTTTATTATACATATATCAATATAGTTATAAACTTTTTGATTTTATCAATTTAGCCATAAACACTTGCGCTAGTTACGATGTCATCACTTCAGCCAGTTTCGCCGAAAATCGCCAACGTGAGCGGCTTTTACGCTACGTGATACAACGCCACGTCTGCGATTTTCCAGTGAAAATTGGATAAAAACGACTATATTGAAATTTTAAGCAAAAATTTACGACTAAATCGGTAAAAACGAAAAGTTTAGAACCGAATCGACGTCCGTACAATGGACTTAAGGTTGATTGGACAATTTCCCTTACACATTTTAAGTTGTAATAAATCTCACCTCTCTGGAAAAAAAAAAAACCTCTCACCTCTTCTAATGAACATGTTTGTTCACTTTTTTTTTGTTGCTAAATAACATGTTTGTTCACTTGTTACCATAATAATGCATATTCGAGGCACGATAAAATTTTGCGGGCCCCACGTGATCGAACAATTCCTCGCCTTTTGAACCCACGATTGTCGGGGGCGAGATCCTTTCGTTGATTTGATTAGAGGGAGGGAGGTGCCCCTATTATTAAGAAATGGCGGACGCCGAGCTGGCCAAAAACAGGACAATTAGACAGGCAGTCCAACATGGTTTAGCATCACTCCCCCATGAAAAAGAAAAGACCACGTTCATTTAACATCGTGGAGCACGTGCGTCAAATGGGTTCTTTTTTTTGTAATTTGCCATGGTCATAATATTATAATATTCTCGGTTTTTTCTTCTTTTAAGCATCTTCCAGCCAAGAAGGTTCCTTGCTTCTTTCCGCGAGCCAATCGACCAAACAGGAACATGAACATGACCCACGACGGACGGTCGCATTATTATAATAATATTCGTCCCGACCTTTAAATTATTCCGGACCAGCCCGCCCCGTGCCGGCGGTCCGATCGAGAAGGTCAGGCCGCCGGGCTCGGGCTCGGGCTCGGGCTCGGGCTCCCCTTGCACACCGTCGTCTTCCCATGCTATATGATCACTCATCATCCTTCGCTAATAAAAGAATGTCAAAAATAATACTAATAAAAGGTTAAACTAATTGACCCGAGAGAGGGTCTCGAGAAAATTGATTTGGTCGACTAGGGATTAGCTCGAGTGACGGGGGCACCATAAGGGTCCGACGTATTGAACGGTGAAGATATTTTTCGTTTCGCTGATCAAAAATGAATTTTTTTGGTCGAGTAGGGTCGCGACTTTCCGCATTGAATACAATGTTGTATTAAATGAATTCCCCCAG